GTTTTTATAGGGAAAGTCATTAGATTAAATAGATTTAAAATATCTGAACCAAAATGGTCAGTATGGTAGCCTTACACCTCAAAGGCTTTCATTATTTCCCCCTCTATAACCACTAACTCTTGTGTAGTAGAAGCAAATTGAGTCTCTTTTGACCCTCTTCCTCTAAGACTGATAACATAGTGAGAGGGAAGCATGGCTTATATTTTATTGATTTATTCTTCTCAAAACCAAGTAGAGAAGAGAGAGTGTTATTACTATGGGTTTAACTGCTTTATCATACTTGGGTGAGAATTTCTTTGATGGAAGAATACAGTGCTCTAGCCAGAGTGTGCAGTGTCAATGTATACTTAGTTCACACTCGGGGCACATTCACACTTTAAAACATCATCATGGTTTGTGTATTTTTTGTTTCCTACTGCCTCTGGAAAATTTACCACCAACCTGGTGGCTTAAAACAACAGAAAATTTTTCTATCATGGTTCTAGATGACAGAAGTTGAAATTATTTACTCTTAACTGAAATCAATTTGTCAGCAGGGCGGCAACTGCTCTGGGGAAAATTTGTTCCTTGACTTTCCAGCTGTGGTGGGTGCAGCCATTTCTTGGCTTGTGAATTCATTGCTCCAATCTCTGCTTCCGTGGTCTCATTGGCTTCTTCTGTCATCAAATCTCCCTCTGTATCTCTCTTAAAATACACATGTGATTGCATTTAGGCTGTTATAGTCCAGAATTATCTTCCCGTCTCAGGATCATTAATTATATCTTCAAAGGTTTTCAAAAAGTTTTTGTGGTTTGTTGCTGTTGTTGTTTTCTTGTGTGTATGTGTATGTTTTCCCTATGAGGCAACAGTCACAGATTGCAGGGATTAGGACCTGATTTTTTAAGCCATACTTTGCCTATCACAGTTGGCATGGCTGGTGCTGTTCTTTTCCAAGTTGAGAAAATAAAATATATATTAGCTAGAGTCCAGTCATGAAAATAGAAGCCATATCAATTACTTCATTGTATTTTCTCAGTGTTTTAAATTTTTATTTTAAAAGTCATATAAAAGAAAATGAATATTTTTCTGTACAGTTATATCTGAAATTTTGAATTTTTATATATGGTATAAAGCATGTAAACTATCATACAATCATGATTCAAAAGAATTTACTTCCCCAAACTCCCTCGTGCTATCATCTTGTAATAACACACTCCTTCATCCCTGCATCCTTGAAAACCTTGATTTGTTCATTTACATTTTTGTCTTTTTAAGAATGTCATATGAATGGAAACACACTATACATAATCTTTTGTGAATTCTCCATCTTGATGAGAGGAAGTACTGGCCACCCAGTCAGTACATGCTTGATTTCCACTCAGTTTTTTCTACAACTGGAGTTTTGAACTTTTACATCATTTTATAAGAATAATACACCATTTCAAGTTTTTAGATTCCACTGGAGACTTGATTCATAATTCTAAAAATATCCTACCAAACACTATGTTAACTCAGGGGAGTATTGGACCAACTCTCATGCTCAGGTCAATACCATCTCTTTTTTAATTTTTAGTACTTTAAGACAAATTTTATTGATCAATATTCACTTTTGCCATGCTAATTGAAGAGGGCATTATCTGGCTTTTCCAGGGTTGGACACTACATAAGAATCCTTTAACTGCGTTGTACTAGGAACGGGTTTATAGAGCTGCTTTACAGCTTTAGGGTGGGTATTGGTTCATGTAAAGCCAATACCTTTGCAAGTTATTTTATGAGTAAGAGAAGAAAGTAGGGTAAATCAGAAATATATAACATTCTACCATTAAAGTGAGAAGATGCAACTAAAAACAAAAAAATAAAGACCAAAACAAAGTAGAAAGTAGATTATGACAATCGGTAGTTTTAAACAATTAGGAGAATTCTTCTCTTCAGATAGTCTTGGATGGAGCTGTCTACTTTTTGTAATTATATGTTTGTTTCAAGAATCTTGGGTAGATGTTCATCTTTTGTGTCTGCTTCCAACGATTCTCTAGAGAACCTTAGTTTAAGATGTTTAATCAGAGTAAATTTTTAATTGTTGTCAATTAAGGATCTATGATGTAATAGTAGTTGATAAACATGTAACTAAGGGTCAATTTCTTATACCTTATCTGCTAAAATGGTAGGACCTAATAAGATAATTTCTATAAGCTCAATGGCAGTCTTTCTCTGAGGTTTTTTGTTGTTGTTGTTTTTTTGTTTTTTTTGAGCTCCAAGTCACCCAGGTTAAGGTCATATGATGGCAGAATATATGAAAAGTTAGGAACTTAACCTGTACTTGTGGTAAAAGGAGTGAGAGTCATGAGTCTGTTTATCTAGTTTAGTTCTTAAAACATTGGAGCATATGGTTTGGGACCTTCAGAGTTACATGGGCTAGTTGACCGATTCATAGTGAGACAACTCATGGCTTTGAGAGGGGAAGTAGGGAGGGCCACGGGAGCTAAGGCTAAGAGTGCACGAGGCCATAGGAGTTCAACATTATCTGCTATAATGCTTCATTTCAGTTTTAATATTTCATTTGTTCTTTTCACTTTTTCAGAGTATAGTGGGGTGATAAAGAATAGTGACGTTTCTGAGTGAGGACAAAGCTTTACATAATGTCCCTGAGAAATCTATTCCCCTACATATAGATAAAATGAACTGGCATGACTTGTAAACACAAAATTAATTTTTTTTGCTCTCATGAGTGTGTGCTTTTTTGACAGGAGAGCACTTGTAGAAAATAAAAATACTATTTCTTGTACATATCATGACCCATGGAGGGAAAGCAATTGTGTAAGATCCTTTGGAGATACTAACGTATTTCCTCGGGACAGTATTCCAGTTCATATCCCGCCTTTACAGTTTTTATGGGAATTTGTCTTTTCCAAGAAAGGTATGAACAGGTCCCATTTTCTGACATCCTCTACAAGTTTACCCACCAGTGTTTGTTTATTACTGCAGCCAATACATCCCTACTGTGATGTGTTGTCTCTGGAGGGTTTTAGCAAATGTTTATTGAAGATCATTTGGCTTTACGAGGCAGCTGTCCTGGCTTTAATATAGCTTGTCCTGATGGTCCAAACAAATCAGTCATTATTGGTGATTCTTGACAAAGTTGGGGATCAAACATTCTGAATCTAAGGTAGAATTTTTGAACTTTTCCATAAATTTGTCTTTGTTCTAAAGAGGTACTTGAATAAATACTTTACTCAGAAAGGCATGTTTAGCATGATAGTCTGCCCAAGAGATTTTCCTAGCTTCTACAGCATACTTTACCCTGTTAGATTTCGTATTTATGACAAAAATTTCTCTGACTAGTAGGAAGAATCAAATAATTCATGTATTTGGTACTTATATTAAATAGGTATACATGAGGTACATAAGAGAGTTAAGAAAAATTAGACAGTAAAGAAACCTCATGGTCTCCATAGTATTTGAAGTTGTAAACTATGTTAAAAACATATTGAATAATGCTGAATGTAATTTTTTTTATAAATTGACATGCTCAAAAAACATCTACAAGTTCAGCTACTTGAGTAAATTTTGCTTTGTTAAGGGACTGGATTTTAGAAAGAAGCCTTGAGTAATTATTGCATAACCAGGTCTGGAATTGACTCTTTCAGATTTTAATATAGGAAATTAGTGCAGAATTTGGTTTGAGAACATCCAAATGATCTGTTATGGACATGGACACTTGTTGAATGACAGAAGTTAATCATGAGATAAGTACTGGAGTTGAATAATATGAGAAAAATTAATAATATTTTATATATTTGCCAACTGGTAGATAAATTTGGTGTTTTCATTTTTTATTGCATTTTTTTTCCAGTACAATTTATCCTCCTTATACCCTCTTCCACTTCCACCTGCACCCTCCTCCAATGTATGGTGTTTTTACAGAGTTATAGTGCATAACAGAGAGCAGGACAGTTTGCACTGTGCATGGTACCATCAAATTCAATGGAGATTTTGGTGCAAGATCTGAAGATACATCAACCAATTTAGCTGAGGCTGCAGTCATTTTGAGAGAAGGATGATAAGCTTTGGCTACTGTATCAAGAGACAGGCAATGATAGACCATGGATCTTTGTTGTTTGCCATATAGTTGAGTACTATTCCCAGGGATGGCCATACTTTTAATATGCATACACAGAGAAAGTTTAATTATAATGATCCTATGATCAGCTGTCTTATGGAAGTATATGGGGTCACCAAGAATATATTCTCTTTAGAAATGGGTATACAGAATATATAGAAACTTACAATGGTTCTATTATGGTCACAATTGAGATACTGGGAAAAATATAAATTCAAAGACTTAATAACCTAATGACCAAACTCTAGTATCCTTTTTGAACAGAGTGAGCTATCAAAATTAAATGGAGAAGGGAAAGTGATCTCTGTGACAGAACTTCATGTCTGAGGGCTTCATTCTAAACCCTTCAGCAAAGAGTGCTTAGTTTTCCTGCTTTTGGTCCCAGATAGGCAACAGAACAGACAGTGATACTGAGAAAGAATATTGCTACAACAGTAGGTAGATCAAAAGAGCTATAGTAATTAGTCCAGACAGCATTGCCTTCAAATCACAACGTGGTATCTTTCACCTGAGGTGCAATAACAGCATTAATAGCTGTGAGGATACATGATTATTACATCTTATGTTGTTTCCATAATCTATCACATGTACTCTTTTAAATAAGTACCAACACCCATTTCCATCACAGATGCAATGAATGAACATAGCAGTTGGTCAAATCATCAATCTTCCTTTCAATACAAAACGTACCATGTTTATCTTCAGATGTAATTTTTATCATTTAAGAGTTGGTTAATGCAAAAGGAAGTTTGGCTTGGGTGAGACTCTCAGCTAGTCCACAGAGAAGTCTGACGTGACCAACGGTAACTTGTTACTCCAGGAAACTCTGTTTCCTGTTCTGGGGCAGCAGCAACACACAGCCTAGGATTATTTTCTCCTCTCTCAGAGTCACCTCACCTTGCAGAGACCTGAAACTGAAGAACAAGATATTTTTCACCTATTGGGAGAACTTGACCATGTTCTTCAGCCTTCTGAAGGTGGTCCTGGCTTCAATGTGGCTAGGTAGGCATGCCCCAGTGGGAATGGGTCTCCTCTATGATCTAAAATCTGAAGGGGCGGTGGGTCCAGGCAGTGTTTTATAAGTGTCCTTGGAAGGAGAGGTAGCAAGATGTAAAAAAGAATTTTTTTTTGCCACACACCATTTATCCCCAGACCTTCTATTTGTATTTTTTTCTGCAGGATCCAGTATTGCCCAGAAGGTAACTCAAGGACAACCAGCAATGTTAGTGCAGGAGAAGGAGGCTGTGACCCTGGACTGCACATATGACACCAGAGATAGTCGTTATAGTCTATTTTGGTACAAGCAGTTCAGCAGTGGGGCTCTGATTTTTCTTATTCGTCAGGACTCCTATAACCAGAAAAATGCCACTGAAGGTCGCTACTCATTGAATTTTCAGAAAGCAAACAGTTCTGTCAACCTCGTCGTCTCAGCTTCACAGCTGGAGGACTCTGCAGTGTATTTCTGTGCCCTGAGTGAGCCCACAGTGAGAGATGTGTAGGAAGAGGTGTAGCAAAACCCCAGGGACCTGGTTGTCACATGCACCTGCTGTAGGGACCAAGGGCCAAGGTTGTCAACAAAGCCAGGAAGTGGCAAGAGGTGTGGTAGCACAGGTGTAGGTAGGGTTTGAGGGAAAACACTCTATGAAAATATCTCTTTAGGTCCATAGACCATGTGTAGAGTTATCATTAATAAAAAACATCTGTATCCTTAAACATTCGGGTTGAAAATGTTTATTGAAGTTAAAGAACAGCCACAATAAACAACTTGCCATTTGGTGAGAGATTGAGCTAGGAGAATTGACTTAGGAAATTCAGAAATATCTGACTCCAAATCAAGAAACATATGCATGAATTGTATTTTCAGATTATTTTGTTCAGTAAATATTGATTGGGTATATATTTTATATGGGAGAAAAAATTCTCCTCTACCCTCTTTGGGTCACTTGCTGGGGCAATTAAAGTGACATATGACAGAATAACAGAGGAAAAGCATAAAAATTTTATTGAATTTTCATTTGTAGATGGAAGCCCTCATAAGAAAATGAAGATCTGAAGATGTGACCAGTACAGGAAGCTTTTAAAACTTTTTGATAAAAAACAATAAATTTATGTAGAATTGGTAAGACCAATGTGTGTGAACTAATGGAAGTCCAACTAAGTTTCACTAGTCCTTTCCTTCCCTGGCTAGGAAGATGAAGTTTGGCCTAGGTTTCTAGCAGCCGTCTGTCTCACACGAATGGGACAAAACCCCACTGATTTTCACAGCTGGATGTTGTGTGAGCTTCTCCTCCTGGCATGATATTCCGGGCTGGAGTGTCTGTTGTGGAGTTGGCACACCTTATTTCTCATAGGGAACTGCTGCAGCTGAGATATCCCTTACAATTCCCTACTGCCACACATGGGTGTGGGGTCAGGCTCTTTAGCATTTCTGCCCTTTCTACCAATCCTGATGTGGCTTCTTCTTTATAGTCTTAGTTATAGGACTTCTGTTCAGCTAGTCTTCAGCTGGTTCTCCCAGTTGATTTCTCCACATCTTAATTTAAAAGTTGAGACATGAGAGGATGATCTTTCTAATAATAAATATCTAATACATGATGGTGTGCTGAACTAAATGCAGAATTTACAACTGAATATTGATTTTAAAGCAATGTTTTACTAGTAATTGAGAATACTAAAGCAGGCAAAAATAAAGTCTACTCTAATTTTTTTATATGCCAATGACCAATGTTCATTGTCATCAATTCAACACCAATAGAAATCCCTTACTAGAGTGAAGAAGGAAACTTGATGTCTGTGAAAACAGCTCAATTGTGATATAGCATAGCTGTAGAACAGGATGGCTGTGAGCTGGCCTTAAGGTGAGACAGCCCTCAGGTGAGTTGCCTCTCTAGCTAGACAGCTCTACTTTGTCTGCTCCAGTCCCATACACTCTTACACTCTGCTCTGCTATGCTCGGTTCTGTTGTGCCCTGGTCCTGTGAGGCATCTTAGATGTGTCAGTTCCTGTTGGGTCAATTCAGCCTTCAGTTGGAATGGAGAATGTGCTCTCCAAGCCAGAGATGAGCTGACTTGTATTGAGAGACGGTTCCAGCTCCAGTCCTTAACAGGCCCATCCTCAGGCAAAGGAGAACTCCAAATCCTCATGGTTTGATCTGAAGAGCACTGTCTTGACTGGTTAGTATGGAGACACTATGATTGGTTGGTGAAGATGCTAATGGAAATATAGTTGCACAGCTCTGATTGGATGGGGAAAGCCTCAGTCCTATTGATGGAAATACAATTCCTGGAACTCATTTTTTAAGGGTTGGCTCAGATGGCAGAAACAAAGTGCATGCAGGCAGTACAGTGCAAGAGGCTGACAGCTCAGTGCAGGCTTCTCTCTGAATCACAGTTTGTGTGAGAGACCCCTGTTTAGAAATGGCTGCCAGACTCTGTTTTTAGAATTTGGGCTCAGTTATCTATCAGGAACTTTTCTTGGTATGACCTTCTTTCTCAAGGTCCACACATACTATAGAGATATATTAGCATTATGTTTTACCCCTGTGCATAACTCTAGTAAATGGAAAATTTAACAGTTCAACTCAGGTCATTTGGTTTCAGTTGACACGTTTTTACTGAACAATAAAAACTAAACTAAATAACTTTGGCATACAACTCAAGAAGTTAAAAAATAAACAATAAAATAAAATTTAATAATGCATATTAAAGGGATCAAAGATAAGAGAAGAAGTTGATTGGTCAAAGAAAAATAAAGTCAATGATGAAACAACGATCTATTCTGAAAAAAAAACCCACTTAGAATACTAACATAATCCAGAAAAAAATGAGGAAGCTCAAAAGCTTAGAGAGTGTGTAACCCTTGGCTGCATGCTTTGCTCAAGTCAAGTGCCTAATAATTGGTCTGAGAGGAATGTTCATGACACTATCTGGAGGGCAGTTCCTGAGTTATAATTTGTATATATTTTATAATTTTTTTTGCATCTTTTGGTAAATAGTCCAACCTGCAATTATTTATTTTTTCAATATTTCAATTTGGATGAATCAAAATCAAACACTTGTGTGCTGTGTTTTGTTATTTGTAAAAGGGGATATCTTCTTTATTATTTGTTGTGGCAATTTATCAAAGATGTATCCAAAGAGATTTTGATCAATTCTTTTCTTTTGGACAAAAGATGATTAATTAATAAGAGTAATCTCAGCAGGTGCAGAAAAAGAAAGTAAGAAATCCAGCATCCATTCCTGATTAAGAACTCCCAGAAAATTAGAAATCAAAGGGAATTTCATTAACAAAGGACCTCTATAAAAAAAAGAAAAACAACAAACCCTTACATCAAATGTCATATTTGATGGTGAAAGTCAATTTTTTTCCTCTATGATAAGAATAAGGAAAGAATTTTGGCTCTCACTTCTTGTATTTAATACTGTACTAGAGGTTCTAGCCTGTGCAATAGGCAAGAGAAACAAAAGACATACATCTTAAAAAGGAAAAAGTGAATCTATCTTTATTCACAGATTGCATAATTGTCCAAGTAGAAAATCCAATGGAATCTAAAATGGATGTTATTAGAAAGAATAAGTAACTTTACTGAAGTCAAATATAAACTTAACAAATGATCCAGCCATTCTTCCCAGATATTTACTGAAGAGAAATGAAAACATATGTTCATACAAAAATGTTTTAAATATATATTCATAGCAGCTTTACTTGTAACAGCCTCAAATTGGGACTAACCATAGTATGCATCAACAGTTGAATGAAAAAATTGTTTCATATCTATATAATGGAATAATACTTTAGCAACAAAACGAATGAACCAGTGATATTCATGAGACCATGGAAGAATCTCAAAATAATTATGCTGAGAGAAAGAAGCCAGATAAAGAATACATATGATTCCATTTACATAAAATGATAAAATGTGCAAACTTATTTATGACTGAGGAATTGCCTGAAAAAGGGGGTGGGAGGTTGGGGGGAAGCTTGAGAGAAGGATTATAAAGAGACATGGGGAAAGTTTTGGGGTGATGAATATGTTCATTGTCTTGATAGTGGTGATGGCTTTACAAGTATATACAAATGTCAAATATTATAGAATATTTTATATATTGTTCATCTTAAGTAGGTGCAGTCTATTTTTATGAAAGTTAGACATAATTAAAGCCATTAAAGTCTAAGTTTAACAAGTATACTCCCTCAATGTTGTATGATTTCTCTTGTGTGCCCCCAAAAGCAAAATATTCCTCCTGTAGATTATCATTAGCCTAAAATTGTTTTTTTTTAAGGTATAGAAAACAACTTTTTGCGTATTTATATCCTATACTGTTTATTTTCAACCCAGCATCATCCCAACCTATATTTTACATTCTATGTGTGTATTGGGACAGATGTTTGTAGTTGCTTTTCCAGAGTTTCTTTCTAGCATAGTTTTGTGCCCAGTTTTAGCAGTCTAATTTAAAAGATGGAAGAGAAAAAGAAGGGATATGTGAACCCAAGCAGTACTTGAGTTTGAATTTGCTGCTTAAGGCTACATCTGTGAATCTTTTCTCCTGTTGACTGTGGACTCATGAAACACCTTGATCTGTATCTGTTATAGAGAGAACACCGTGAAACTGACTGAACTAAGCTTCTACCTCCCTGTCTACAGATAAATGTTTACAGAAAGATGTGTCCTTCTCCAAAACTTTGTCCTGATAACCCTCAGAAGTTTCTGTTTTGTGTTCTTTTATAAATGAAAGGTCATAAAAAAGAAGCTAAAGAAGTGTTTTGTTTTTACTGTTGGAACTTCAGAGAAAAAGGGAGCTTTAAAAAATTTTAGTCACACTCAGCAAAGTGGGAATAAAGGGGACATACTTCAACATAATAAAGTCCATATATGAAAAACCTACAGCCAACATCATACTCAATAGGAAAAAACTAAAAGCTTTCCCACTAAGGTTGGGAACAAGACAAGGTTGTATACTTTCACCACTCCTATTCCACATAGCATTGGAAGTCCTAGCCACAGTGATCAGAAAAGAAAAAGAAATAAAAGACATCCAAATTGGAAAGGAGGAAGTAAAACTGTCATTGTTTGCAGATGATATGATAGTGTACATAGAAAACCCCATAGACTCCACCAAAAAAACTACTCAAACTAATAAGTGAGTTTGGCAAAAACAGCAGGATATAAAATCAATATTCAGAAATTAAAAGCACTTTTGTATACCAACAATGAAATAGAAGAAGAAGAAATCAGGAAAAACATACCATTCGATATAGCAACAAGAAAAATAAAGTACCTAGGAATAAACTTAACTAAGGAGGTAAAAGACTCGTACTTGGAAAACTACACAACACTGAAATTAAGGAAGACACAAATAAAGGTAAGTATATATACTGTGTTCATGGATTGGAAGAATTAGTATCATCAAAATGTCCATACTACCCAGGCATTTCAGTACTTCAAGAGTCCTTAAATATCTGTTAGGTCAACCTTATTTTACAAAGACAGAAACTAAAT